TCAACTAATTCTTCAATAGCTCAGGAGACAATTTTAAGAACACTTAGATTAAAACTGCATTTACAGCATGAGATGTTGGCTGGCTGATTAAACACAAACCCTTTCGTGTGCAGGGCACTCTTCTACTGGGTAAGTCAGGCAGCATCACTACATGAGCACCAAGATTCCAAGAGAAACCAATTCAGAAAATTTCATATATCATTCGTTTCAGTGGCAGCTCACTGTTGAGGAGTGATAGCTTTAATCCCAAAATATACTCCAAGATGGAGAAGCAGAAGAGTTGTTCCCCTTATGGCTTAATACAGCCACAGCAGTGGCTAAAGTTTTTTCTTTTAATTGTAGATGAAAGTCTGATAGGAAGAGCACAAGCTAAAAAAAAATATTGTCTAAAAAGAAAATCTTGTAATAATTTTAAAGCAGCAGTATTAATTTAGTGCATAGCTAAAAGAAAAGAAACCACCATGTGACAACTTAAATAAAATGAAAAATATAGTGTCAAAATATAAGGCATTTGAAGGAAAAAAATATATTCAGAATATATTAAAAATTAAAGAAACATATATTAAAAATTAAAATACATAAAAATAAATGTTTAAATTGCATCATACTTAAGATCATAAAAGCTGAAGAATATCACCCAAAAATTAGAAAACATTAAATATAGGAAATAAATTTGTCTCTGGAAAATAATTTCCAGGCATAAATATGTGCCTTTGTTACTTCAGCTTTTAGGGATTATTTCAGTCACTCATCCTAGAATGGTGACTCAGCAGGTAATAAAGAAACTATTCTATTTTGTGTCCCTGTTGCTTTGTCACCTTGGCACAATAAATACAACCTACTTTAAAACATGAGCAATCTTCAAAGAAAAGCTTCAGATGACTACAACAAAGGGGCTGGGGACCCTGTGCTGTAACAAGACAGGGCTTTCTAAACCACTTTTTATCTACTTCATTGCTGCAGGAAGGGGATGGCATTAGTTGGTATGAAATGACACTGTCTCTGAATTGCCTATTCCTTGTCTGCACTCCTCAGGAATGCAGAACCTCTGCATTCATTATTTCTATGCACTCACAACTGTTTATTCTGTTTTAAGACAAACTAGGCAGACGACTCTCTGAACTTCTGGATGCAAGGAGACTTAAAAAGAAAATCTCTTGTGCCTCATATTTGTTATCCATTGACATTTAACAGTTATTCCTGCAATCCTGTTACAGTCAGTCAGAAGTTGTGTTCTCTGCCTGTACACCTTCCTACAAAACCTCTACAGACATTTCACAAGGTCATGTTTAGCTGTAATTATGCAGCAGTTAGGAAGGTGCTGGCTCAGTCAGAATCATTCTGTCTCTCTTCTAACAGTAACACATTTTGAGCCAGGCAGATAGTTCTACAACTGTGTGTTTGCAACCACAGAAGCAAATATCAGAAGGCTGGAAAAACTCAATGCAATCCATGAAGGAAATTT